GTTACAATAATATGGTTACAATAAAGTTAAGAAAGCATTGGTATTAAAACAAATTTGGACAAAACCACTCTTATTTTACGAATAACGAAAAGAAAGAGCACGTTACTTGAAGCATTTATTTCGCCCCTGAATTTCAGGCCGACGGCAAATAAAACTGAATGTTATCTGACTAATTTTTTTCCCCGACTCGCGCCAAACCCAAATCTTTAGGGAGCTGAAATCATTATGAGCTCCAGTTAAAGGAGATTATGTGGAAATCAAATGCTGAATTATGTAAGGATACAGGTTTTTCTGGATTTCAGGCGCTTTAGGATTTCACTTAGAGCTTAACTTAGTATTGTCGCATGCAGGGTATAAAATATATTATGTACACTTACATTTGTTCCATCAATTGACTTGAAAGCAATTAAGTTATATTTGCCAACACTGTTTATTAGAAACTAGTAGTGGCCGCGACTTTATCCGCATTCCGTCGTTCTTGCGAGTGTCAAGATAATTTAAAAGATAGACTGTCGCGGACATTTTTATACTATTCTATTATATATATAATTTTGGCCGTTTTTCAACATTTCCCTCTGTTACTTCGCTCCTATCTTTTACAGCCTGTGTTTTATTTTCCTTGCTAAATGGTCCAATCAACCAAAAATATAGTTCCTGTGACTAGCACGTTCAAACAAATAAACTGTTTAGCTTAACGAATATAAATACACGAGTTTCTATAAAAGCAAAGATAGAAATAAAACACTTTAACGGTTTAAAGCGCGATATACCAGTTAAACTAATTAAAAAAATATTTCTCTCTTCGGCCCGACGCTTCGATTGCTTTACAGCAACTATCATTTTCAAGTTTAACTAATATATATCGCGTTTTAAACCGTTAAAGTGTTTCATTTAAATGTGTACTACTCGCGTAAACTACAGACAGTATTTACAGCAAGGTTTTTTTTATTATATTATATTAAGCTTATGATAATTATCACGCCTATAAAGATACGCTGCCCACTGCTATAGATATTCAAAAATTAACAAACGGATAATTGTATGTAGATATAATTATAGTGTAAAACTAAGAGTAATTATCTTGAAACCTATAGAAGCAATGTACGTTGATACTAGATCTATAATCGTGTAATCGAAGCCTCTAGAAATTCTCATTGAATAGAACTATTCAGTATTGAGACATGAATTACTAAATCTAGGACACTAGTTAAGCTTTCGAGAGTATACAAAGAAATAAATCTAACGTATTAATCTCTTTATATATAGATTACAGTAGGCTAGGTGTAATCTATGTATACGTGGTGAGATTAATTATAAAAATATTAATTGCATTAATTTAAAAATAATACTAAGTTGTATTACAAAAACAGTGTTAATTTTATAATATTCACAAAAATAGACAATATTGCAATCATAACTTTGGATTGGGAATGGTTCATTTTAGAAGACTTTTATTAGGTCAATATCTACTGCCTAAGAGTAGTACACATTTGAATAAAACACTTTTAACGGTTTAAAACGCGATGTTTTTTATTGAAACTTATTTACAATTTATATTAAATACACTGGAATTTTCGGATGCTTTGCAGCAGCCATTGTCTGGGGGGGGGTTACAATAGCTAATAATTAATTACTTCAATAATTTCTCTATACCTAAAATGGAACAGTAAAGAGACACGGAAATTTTCCTAATCACGGCGTGATTAAACAACGTCAATGTGATCTTCAGCCAATTCCGAAGGTACACAAAGAGAATTATTGACACTGTCCAATTTTATTTTATTCCAGTCTCGGGGGCCACTCGGCGTCTAAAAGTTAATCAAGGGGGAATGTGTTTCGTGCAATTTGTAGACCTATTTGACCCCTCATAACAGTCGCCGGAGCACATTATGATGTTTTTGTTGTATTAAAAATGGCCGACCTAAACGTGTTCGTCCAATTTATCACGAAAAATGATGATCGATTTTTTTTATTACGTGTGTTGAACGTGCGTCACAGTGATATATAAGACAATATTGTTCAGGAATTAGGAAGTGAAAAGAAACATTGCTCTGGGGAGAAAGATTTATTTGATAATTAACATAGACAATTTTTACTTACAAACACAATGATTATTATTAAAGAAACAACATTTGAAGTTTCTTAAATAAAATCAACAACTCCTCTTTATTATTTTTAAAATTTCATCACGGTTGGGTTTAAAACATGTTTCCACTCGAACACATTATATATATGTATATGTAAGTATGCCAACAACCGTCTGAAGGACCCAATACATTCGTCGTGAAAAATTGAAATAAAACTCTTTAACGGTTTAAAACGATATTTTATTAAAAGTCGCGTTTTAAACCGTTAAAGTGTTTTATTTAAATGTGTACTACTAGATAATACTACTAAACTATATACAGTATTTAAGCATGAAAAACAATGATACCAAAAAACGGCATACCGGCATACGCAAAGTCAGCGTTACTCAATTCTGCACGGTCCAGTTACCAACTGCGAAGTACTGCCAAATACCAACAGCAAGGGTACAGATGGCGCTAGCGTAGGAGTGTTTACTTTGATATTAAAGACACCCTCCATCTTTAGTCTCTGCGTGACCACGACTGCTGCAAAACCTCCGAAACGTCGGACCGTATTTAAAATAAGTTTAACTAATATATCACGTTTTAAACCATAAAAGTTTTTTTTAATTTAAATGTGCATTACTCGGGTAAACTACAGACATCACTACTTTCGTTATATATTAATCTATGAATCGTGAGAATTGAACTACAATAATAAGGTAAGTTACACACAAGCTACAATAGCTAAGCGGCAACGACATGTCCACTTTGATGACACCCCACAAGGCGTAGACGAATTCACTATCACGTGTCAATTGGAAGAACGCCTTCAATCTGCGCCGCTCGAATTTTTCTGTATTAAAATTAACTTCATAAGTATAGAAGGATTCAAGATCAGCGTAAAATAACTGATTTGTCCAATAGTAGCGATGTATAGATAATAATCAACGGATCGTCGATTACGGGCTGAACATGTTTTTAAAATGAATTATAATTTATAAGCTGTGATCCTTTGGTCTCAGTTTGTACACTTCTGAATGTTCAAAGAAAGACATGCTCATTTGCCCTCCATAGTTATAAACGAATACGAGTATTATTTATTATAAAAAAAAAACTCACCGAGTTTTTTAGTATTCAAAGCATCGTGAAGTATGCTTCGGATAGCGGTGACCTGAGTCGTCGTTATGTTGCAAAAGTAACACGGCAGAATTACAAGGATCGTAAATTTCAGGCAGTGTCCAACTGTGTAGAATACGAGAGATCGAACGACCTGCAACAAAATATTAAAGTAACGAAACTTTTAAATAAAAAACTCTAACAATAAAACAACGGCTTAAAACGCTAAAATATGTTAATATGCTAAAAAAAAATAGGCACCTAATATTTAAATAAAACACTTTAACGGTTTCAAACGCGATGTATATAAGTTAAACTTACTTGATTTTTTTTTAAATTTCGACCCGACGTTCCATTCGACGAAATATACATCGCGTTTTAAACCGTTAAAGTGTTTTATTTAAAGATATTTTCTTTAATTTTACAACTCGCGTAAACAACAGACAGTCAACACATAACGGAACTTCGTTAGCGAGATATCTTAAAAACATAACCAAATGGGTAGTTAAACATGAAATATTATCGATCTTATGGAAATGGTTTTTTATTAAATACTGTCTATAGTTTACGCGAGTAGTACATTTAAATAAAACACTTTAACGGTTTAAAACGCGGAAGAACAGTCTCCCCGTGACCACGGCTGCTGCAAAGCGTCCGAAACGTCGGGCTGAAGTTAAAAATAATTTCCAAATAAGTTTAACTAATATATCGCGTTTTAAACCGTTATAGTCTTTTTTGTCAAAACTCACTTCTTCGATGTAAATTGACCTAAACTCGGGACAAGCATTATGGCTTTGTTGAATTAAAATCGGATAAGAGTAAAAAAGTGCATACATTCAAAGATAGATAGATAAAACATAAAGCGGAATTAATAAGACATGTATAAGCAACGATGTATGTTATTTGGTAGCGATTAAATATAATTTTGATTGTAATTATTGATTCAATTTGAAAAATCTATCCATATAAACAGCGGCTAACAAAGTTATTCATGCATCAAAGTCGCAGACAAGTCTTTACTTACGTAACTATCGAGATCTTTCACTTGAATCACTCTAAAAAGATTTTTTAGAATCATTATAGATGACAGCCCGGACGCGGTAAATATTAATACCATCTGAAATAAAATCCAAAAATTTGTTAGCAATTTATAGTAAAAATCATTTGGCATTCACTTAGTACAATGTTGAAAAAGGATAAATGTAATTACAATTAATTAATATAAAAAAAAAATCTTACACAGACTTTCGAATTATTTTATTACAGCACCATAGAGTATATAATTGTTTTTCGAGCTGGTCGGCCGACATAAGCAAGAAGAGGTTCTCGTCGTTTCGCTATCACGAGCCGACGGCATCATCAGGAGATGTTAGCTCAGATTTCTTCGAGCCTTCTCGCTTCGCGGTCGAACAGCCCGAAAAACAATGGTATGCTGAAAGACGGCCGTGAAAGCCACATTTTTATTAGCACGATACAGTGATTTATATACTCAAAACGCTTTAATAATTTATTGATCTTCTTTGTCAAAGTACTCTCATTGAATTCTTTAATAATAACATTTCATAAAAATCGCCTTAACTGGCTATTTAAATAATAAATTGCATTAAAATAATATTTTCTTATAAAATAATAAGTTTTTAGAAGCGTAAAAGAATTTTTTGTTCCAAGAGCAGAGCAGACCGTGAACGTGAAGTTCTATTTTTTTCGCAAATAACATCTTACACGAGAGAGAATGCTCCAGAATTTTCATAGAAAATGTTTACGAAAATTCACATCACACTTCCATTAACAAATGTGAAATCTCGTGCATTACCCTCATAAAAGACTTACCGGAAAATTCATAGCAGAATTGAGTTTTTCAGAGCACGTGTGGAGCGTATCGTACGCTCTATGCAAGTCACTGACGTCCAGGTTCGCATTGTACGATAGCGCCGCCAGTTTTTTGCTCTCCTTCTTCTGTTTACCCAGGAACATTTTCGCCACGTGCCCCTTTATCACCTTCAACCTCCTCATAACCATTATAAGCAAGACGCAGAAGAAAAAAATCTCAGTATCGTGCGCTAAGAACGTAAAATAGATCGTCAAATACGTGTATGGTACTAATTCTACTCCTACCACGGTTTCAATTCTTTGTAGGTATATCATCTCGAGCACTATATACATTACAAAGATAAAGCAGAAGACAAGAAGATAACCAGAGTGAAAAGTGAGAACGGCGTTGTTCTTTATGTTCAGCAAATCGTCGAATGCTTCCATTCTATCGAAGAACTTCTTCAGCGTCTTATTGTATAGAAGAATCGAATTTAGCGAGAGGAGAGTATATTCTATTATTGACGTGTTCCTAAACACGAGGTAAGTTGCGGTTTTCATTTCGCATCGTATGATGACAAAGAGGATGAGAACAACCACTGTGAGTGAGTAGACATAGCTTATGCGAATTTTATATCTGTGGTTGACGAATAAGTACAATCGATTAATGCCGATGAAAAATTGCAAACCAGAGACAAACTTTAATCGTTGTAGTACATCGTATTTCGGGTGAACCAAATTATTAACTTTTGTTCCGAGCGGGGTCACTTTGGAACTATTCATCTTTGCGGCGACGCGGTAGAGACTACTACGCAATTCAATTCAAATAAAAGTGACGTTAAAATATTAATAACACTCACGATAACTAATAATCGATAGTTGATAAATTAGAGTAATAGCGATTACTAATGCATAATCGAATGTTTTATCTAGTGGACATAATTAGAAAACAAAATGGAAGTAATGGCGTGTTTTTTGTATTAATCTTTCTAATGATTGTATGTTATCTTTAAATTATGAAAGCTATTTTTAAAAATAATGCGTAATATAGAGATTGTTTGACGCGCTCGTGGGTCTAATGGTAACAACTTATATAATAGTCGTGGGTTCATCCCTACCTGGCGTAACATGTTTTAAAAATATATATATTTCTTCTGAAACATATCGGACTTCGTCTGGAAACATCGAAATTCCATCCGGATTACGAAGCACCACAGATGAGAAAGCCGTGAAATTTAATTGCGCCTTCTTTCGACGTTATATACCTTTCAATAAGTGAACTCCAGACCTGTCCATCTTCCGCATAACTAAATATCTATATAGGTAGTAAGCACTCGAACAAATACAAATGTCTTTATGTAATATAGGTATGTGTTACACTAATCGTTGTATTATTATATTGTCGCTTTAAAGTAAATATAAATAAGTATTATCTGTAGTTTACGCGTGTCATACACATCAAAATATAATACTTATTTGAAAATGATTTTTAACTTCGGCCCGACGTTTTGGATGCTTTGCAGCAGCCGTGGTCACGGGGAGACGGGGAGGTCTCCCCGAAGTTAAAAATCATTTTCAAATGAGTTTAACTAATATATCGCGTTTTAAACCTTTAAAGTGTTTTATTTAAATGTGTACTACTCGCGTAAACTATAGACAGTATCGCCTAAAACGATATATTTGTTAACTTACTTTTGTTTTATTTTAACTACGGTCGTATCGGACGCAACGGTCGTGATCACTGAAGGATACAGGAATCTTATCTTTGAATAAAAGTCAGTAAAATTGAGACAGTATTTTTTTAAACTTAAAAATTTTAGGTTTCACCACTATTGGCAAAATATTACAAATTCCCTTTTCTAATTGCTAAATGTTCTTCGTGCTTTCACAGTGACGGGATCAGCTCTGTGCTACAGATTAAAAACGCCTTTGTAACGTGTTTGGCTTATGAGAGGAAAATAAAAGAGTGGCTTCAGGTTTATGTCGATGCTTTGACCAACGTTATCTTTTGATTCGATGATCATATCTTTGTTAAACTCGAGGTGACGGTAGCAGATGACTCGAAGTGAGGATAGTTGAAATAAAAAATATTACAATCGAACAACTACTTTAGTACAAAACAAGTACTTGATGGGATCTTTGGTGTATTGGTAGCAATTTATGGCTAATACTCATTGGGTCGTAAGTTTGATCCCCAACGGGCCCAACGTGTTTCTTAACAATTTACAATACTAACCTATGGATATTAAGTGGGCGGTAGGAATATCGAAATTCCACCCGGGTACACTAAAATTAAAACGTACATTGTACTCGTGGACTACTAGTACACATCGCGCCCCCGCGCAAATGTGTCACTCTGTCGTGGACATGGCCCCCGCACTCAAATAAGTCGAATATACTCGTCTCTATCGCTCTCCAGGTAGTTTGTATTTTTTATCTCGTTTCTCCGTAGTCCCGCCATATCCAACCCATTCGAGTATTCAAACCATAGAAAAAGGTTATGTAATAATAAACTAAACTAAAAATGAATCACACAAAAATCACAACACTCATACAACATGAGTGTTTTCTTGTGGAATGGCCATTACTATAAGGTATATAGGTAATTGTAATTTTTATATTGTTTATTATATAAGTAACGTACACAAAGATTAAAAACCATATGTCATCGCTTTAGTTTCTGAGGTATGAGCTTTTTTAATTAATAGACGGCTTTAAAACGCGCTATCTCAAGTTTAGCACGGCATAACTCTGGACCAGAGTCGTAATCTAAAGATCTAATGATTACATTGTATAGATCATTTAGTAGTAAATATAAAAAATATAACATTTGATAATCTTTCAAAACAAACTTTAGTCACAAGGGCCGATAGCGCAAAGACAGATGCGCAAAAACCGTTACAAACAGTGAGGCACAAATGGGTGGCCTAGTTCTTGTCGCTGAGCGTTTGAACCTACCAAGGTCAAAGAGCCGGGTCATAGATGTGGTGCGATTTCTTAGCCACGGGCGACCGAGGGCCTACAAAAGGACAAACCCTGAACATTTGGAATTCCGAATAGGGTTCCCTCCATCTTCAGTCCCCTCGTGACCATGGCTTCTACAAATCATCCAAAACGAAGGGATTGTAGCAAAATTATTATGTGAATAAGTTAAATTAACATTTCGCGTTTTAAATCGTTGAATGTTTTTTATTTAAACATGTCAAGGCATTACTTTAACAAATATAATTTTAGTAGAAGCCACAAAAAATAACGTTTTAAATTTCGATATGCATTCACGTGCGTAACATCAAGGTAAAATTAGACGCTAACAAGCTGAAATTAGTGAAACGGTGTGGAACAAATAATGGTTATATTATCTTGCGACGTGATTTTCAACACGTCTTTTAACGGCGTAATAACCATCTCTTAAAACTGAATGTATGTCATAAAGAGAACATATAGCTACATAGGCTTGGTTCTTCATAGGGGGAAAAGCCGGATAGTTGCCCCACTTTAAGAAAATCCTTAACAAAACAAAAAAAAGGAACTTGCTGAAATTTATTTAGTGTATATATTAAAACATAGGCTTGAAGTCAAATTGCGCTTCGGATCCAGTCTATGGATTTCAGAATTACCATAACTAAAATATGGCTCGGGTAATTCACGTTTCATGTAACCCACATGCTATCCTCAATCATAAAAAAAAACTATTTTGGGTATACAATAATAAACGCATTACGCAATGCCAAGAGATTTAATTAACTTAAAATGTAATCGTCTGTAAAGGGTTGATCTTCAAAATTGAAATTGACCATCTACTTTATAGCATTTTTTCTTCAACAAATAATTTTCTTTTACGAGGAAACGATTACCTTAATGAGCACTCATTAATGGCGGTTAGCGTTGTTTTTCCTTGAACGAGATTTACTTTGGACAGTCTTTACAGTTACAAGGCTCTGGCCTCCTATAGATGCTGTAGAATCACGCGCTACGCAGTTTGTTTATAGAAACGCGTGTGAAAGAAAAAGAGACTTTCACACGCGTCTGGAAACAATGGGTAGTTCTTAGTAAGTACGTAAGGAATATGTCATTGATATAAACTCTACAATACTCGCTAAGTGATGCCACCTGGCGGAAACAATTCGCAGAAAGAAATATTAGTCTTAAGTAGAAATAATAGTATAACAAAAGCTAAACATTAACATGCTTCAGTGTAAAACAGCATGAATATTAAATGCTGTCTGTAGTTTACGCGAGTAGTACATATTTAAATAAAACACTTTAGCGGTTTAAAATGCGATATACATTAGTTAAGTGCGTAAGAGTTGGTCTCCCCGTGACCACTGCTGCTGCAAAGCATCCGAAACGTCGGCCGCAGTTAAAATATTGCTCAAATAAGTTCAACTAATATATATCGCGTTTTAACCCGTTTATGTGTTTTATTTAAAAGCATGCATATTAGAAAAAGAATTGTGTGCACAAATTTAACTATGGAAAACAAAAGAAATAAACTTTAAGTTTAGGTAAAAAGGTTTCGAAGAAGCTGACGCGTTTTTGTCATACGTTTTTGTTATTTAATGTTGCGATTCACTGCGTTTTTAGGAGACCGCAGCCTGATTGATAATTTTATGCTAATTTTATTTAGTTCGTTACTTTGTTAATTATTTCGAGAGATTCACGGTATTTCTAAACAATTCGACGAGTTTTGTTCATTTCCTTTTTTCCTATAGAACTCGGGCTAAGAAAATTGTTTCGGAATCTTATTAGAGTTTCTCTACTTGTCTAAATATTTGGTGAATAGGCTGAGTAATAAAATTCTTGGAATCGTTGTTATTTGTTGTGTTCTTGGAAATTGATGTGATATTTTACTTGTCAAAGATTAATTACTTAGTGTTATAGAATACTGAACAATTTACTTCACTCGTTCTTCATATACGAATATGTAGCTATTTCCACGAAATACTTATCTGAATATTTCTTGTAACAAAATTAATTAATATGTGTAAATTTAATTAACATACTGAAATATCTGCCTAAATGTTTAAAAAAAGGACTCCAAATTTAGTTTAAGAGATTGTTTTGGGATTTGAACCCAGGATTAATCGTAGGTATTTTCTTCACCTATTAAAAATAGTTAAAAAAAGTTACATTTTTTTACGATGGCGCTTCACTATACAACATATTAAACGTGATAATACAACCAAAATATACTGTTCATTATATTTAAGACGCTACAGTGAATAAATAATTACATTCAAATATTAAACAAAGAGGATTCATACAAAAATATACTCTTTTTCAATCAGAGATCGCTCCAGAGATACAATGCGAAAGAGTCTGACCTCGCTTCGAAGCCAATAAATCAAAGCATTTTTTATCTAAAAAAATAATTTCTCCAAGGGGAAAATAAAGGGAATTTTCTTTCCGCAAATTCAGCTGAGATAAACTCGGCCGGTGTAATGGACAGCGTTCAACCATTAGTAAGTATTTATTAGCTATCACGAGGAATTCCTTGCGGCTGCTTCTGATTCTTTCTCCTTATATCGTTTCTCTGGTGTTTGGAATCGAGATGCCAACGTGTTTATAGTGTCGAAATCCCTTTACCTAGAAATTTACTTAGTAGATACTGTGTGTATTTTACGCGAGCACATTGAAACAAAACCCTTTTAACGGTTTAAAACGCGAAATGTATTTTAGAGCCACAATCTCCTCTCGTTTGTCGGTACGCAATAGAATTTAAACAAGTTTAAGTAAAATATGTATTTCGTAAATTTTCTAATTAGTAAACAAAGTAGACAAAC